ACTTAGAATGGCAAACAAGCTGACGGCCCACCTGATGGAAAGTGGTTACCGTCGCCTATAGACATGAGTAGTACCATGGACATAACAGAGTATACTGTTTCGCCTATGATACCCCCCATGCGTTGCCATTCCTGAGGACTCAGGTGTAATTCCTCTGTACCCAGTAAATTCACGCCATATCCCACATTTCAAACCGAAACACAGCCATGCAAACACAACTGCTTCACGGTAGAAACACGAATGGGACAGAGGTACCCAAGCAATCGACTTTTCTACAAAGTCTCCCTCTGGTAAATTGTGGCAAGACTAATTATTTTTAGTTAAAAACTAAACTACTAAACCTATTTTGATAAAATTTCTATGAAACCGTTCTATAATCTACACTTATAATAAATCTGTAGAGAGGCCGATTCTGTACATGAAATATATTTCCAAAATAACTATCAGGGTGTGATTAGTGATCGATACTGATGCCAAAAATGCAATCAGTAAAATTTTTGTCTGTCTGTCTGTATGTTCGTTATAGAAACAAAAACTACTCGACGGATTTTAACGAAACTTGGTACAATTATTCTTCATACTCCTGGGCAGGTTATAGTATACTTTTCATCACGCTACGATCAATAGGAGCAGAGCAGTGAAGGAAAATGGTTGGGAAAACGGGAGAAGTTACTCCATTTTTAAGCTTCAGTCGCGTGTGCGGGCTTAATGGCCACTTTTTAAAATGTAACAATGTCCACCCGTGCCACGCCGGGACGGACCGTTAGTTAAAAATATATCCTTCCAAAATTAACAATTATTTTCCAAATCGGTTCACAACTGACGGAGTTATGAGGTAACAGAACATAACAAAAATATAACCGTATCATTAAACTTCTTTTTGAAGTCATTTGAAAAATGAAAGAAAATTTAAAGCAGCCAAATTCGAACTAACAGGTAACTTGACAGAGGATCGAACCCAGAACCTCTTTAACAGAAGGCAATGTATCTAACTGCTCCACTGAATTATATCGGTTAAAATTACTAGTGCGTAGTTGTTTGCAATAATTTTTTTTTTAATACATCTTAGTCATCGTACAATGACCTACTTTCTCATTGACTTCAGACTCGTTTGGACATGCTTTGACTTAATTTGCATATATGTACAGTTTTTAATGAAAGGCAGGGAGTGTTCTGAGGAATTGTTCGGATTGATACCTGCTGCTGATTTTCACCGCCACAAACTAAAGTTTCATTCCAGCTATCTGGACGAGTGGCGGTCTTCCACCGTGCGTTTTTCACGGCACTTTCTTCCACGCACAACCACTCTTTGGAATCAACTTCCAGCGGCAGTATTTCCGAACCGATGCGACAACATAACCTTCAAGAAAAGAGTATATTCCTTTTTAAAAGGCCGGCAGCACACCTGCAATGTCGTTAGTGTTGTGGGTGATCATGGGCGGCGGTAGTCACTTACCATCAGGTGAGCCGCATGCTCGTATGCCCCCTGTGTTGTAAAAACAAAAAAAAAAATTTTAGTTTTATATATATTTTAATTTCAATAATGAAATGGAAACTCACTTAAATTTATATTCATCATCAGCTTTTAAGAGCATGCTGAAGCATGCTGAACATAAGCCTTTGGGGGGTGTTGTCAGTAGTTGCCACGCTTGGCAGGCGGATTGGCAACCGCAGTCAGGCTTCAGAGGTGTTTTAAGAGAGACACTGCCGCCCATCCCTCGTCCTCCCTTAGTCGCCTCTTACGACACCCACGGGAAAGGAAGGGTTTTTTTTAATGGGTGATAATGGAATGGTAACCCCACCCGTGCTATTGGTATACACCGGCGGGGCACCAGTGAAGGATGATAGGTCAGTTAGCTCATTGTGATGTGTAATTCAACAAGAATTGTTCACGATGGTATCCAGGGAGAACCACGTGGAGGTCGACCTAATAGGGCATATTGCTAGCAATGGGGCTGTCAAACTCCGTTGCTAACAATCCCTTGCCCCCCATGTAGATTGATTGGACAATTAATTAACCACAATGGTTACCAAGAGGAACAGCGTGGAAACGTCCTGTTATACCCTGATAATCCATTTCTAAATAGAATAAATTTTGATACGGAATATATGATATATAATATATTCCATAATAATTTAATTTTTGTTTCTATTCAAAACATAGATGTGATTCCTTTGCATTATTTTTATAAAAAAAAAAAAAACATTACAATAAAAAAATAAAAATAAAAATGGCTTTGTTTCGATTTGAAGGGTGGGATATGGCTTAAATTTACAGGGTACAGAGGAATAACACCTGAGTCCTCAGGAATGGCAACGCATGGGGGGTATCATGGGCGAAACAGTATACTCTGTTACGTCCACGGTACTGCTCATGTCTATAGGCGACGGTTACCACTTTCCACCAGGTGGGCCGTCAGCTTGTTTGCCATTCTAAGTCGTATATAAAAAAAGGAAGAAATAGGATCGTACGTTGTTTCATTTTATAAAAAAAAAAAATCCAAAATAACAGGCGTATTGGTATTGCAAGTATTACAGACGCTCATAGGCTACGGTAACCGCTTACCATCAGGTTGGCCGTATGCTCGTTTGCCACCTCAGTTGTATAAAAGAAAAAAAATACCATTATTATAAAATTATATTATTGAAGAAACAAATGTCATCATAACTAATACCTTTTGCGGGCTACACATTCCTTTTCTTCTTAACGCCATATGACTTACAGCTTGCAGGGATAGGTGCTGTGCACTATAAGCCACAACTTGTATCTTTCCCATGTGACTCATCGTTGGATCTAATGTATATCTCTTATCTTTATTCCCTTGTTTATCTTATATATTTATCACTGTTTTATGTATTATTCTTATATATTTATACATTACATCTCTTGCACACATGTGTCCGTGAGTTACGTATTTGGGGCCTACTGAAAATCAGTGTCGTAGCTTCAGATTTGAAACTGCGACATATGCTGACTTAGGCCCTTTGCACAAACACTGCTACATTCATTTTGTATTTTATGTTTTTCTTTTTATTGTAAATTAAAAGAAAAAAAAAATACCTAAATACTTTAGAAGAATTAACTTTCTTCTTGGAGTAACCCATTTCAAATAATATTTATTCATTTCATACGGCAGGGGAATCCTTGATCTAAAATAGAATTATGTTTGTCTATGACTAATTCAATAACGGCTCGTGTTATTGACTACATATCTATACCAAATTTGATTGCCAGCTTAGTGTTCTCTAGTTATTTATTGGAATCAGAAGTGCCTTTTAAAAATTATCACCTGTCAGGTAAGCGATATAAAATTAATAAACACATTTGTAGACAAAAAAAGGAAAATTAAAAAAAAAAACATTGAAGTTATTTATGTATAATTAAAAAAAAAAAGTAAATATTTAAAAAAAATGCATTTATTAATAAAATATAAGTATAAAGTTCAACATGGATTCCTGCACTAGGCTGAGCATGTCCTGCAGGAAACAGGAATTGTTTTATTAATATACGTTTTCTAGTAGTACATTAATTTTTAAATTAATTAAGTAACTGAACATATAAAGAACATAGGTTACAGTTACCGTTCACCATCAGACGGGCTGTATGCTAGCTTATATAAAAAAAAATTTAATCTAATATATTACGTATCCACTTTCATGTTTTCACTAATTTATGATATACAGTAAATAAAACTGTAAAATTGTTTTTTTTTTGCAAATAATTTTGAAATCAAAGTTTCAATAAAGTTATATTTTAAAAATTGTAATTGATGTATAAAAGAAATATATATTTAAAAAAGAAAATAAACTTCAATTTATAAAACTGTTAAATAGTACAGTTAAATTCTTTAAATTAAATCTTAAAATATTAGTTTGCGATAATTAGCTGCCATTGTATAACTTTATATATATAAGTATTTTATATATATAAAAAAATTACAAGTTGAAAAACTTATTTTTGACGAAAATTCTAACTATACTTAACCTTTTTATTGTTCATCATAGACGTAGCTGAAAAACATGAAAAATTATACCATCAGATTATTATTTATTTTTCTTGTTACGAGTTTCGCTTGCACAGTGGATCCGCGAGCTTAAATTCTGGTCCCAATAGTTTTATTTACTAAATACTTATTTTTAAAAAGTATTTTTTATGTACATGTAGCAATAAATTCATAATCTATCGTTTAAAATAAATAGACGTGTCACAAGATTTTTTGTTACTTGAAAATGAAAAATGGTATTTGTATTGAAAATATATATTATTATTTAGTTTATATATAAATGTAAAAAAAAAATATTATGTCACTTTAAAAAACAATATATAAATTATATTTTCTATTGTGACACTTTCCGATAAATTGCTTCTATTTGCTTCGTTTTCTATTTTCGACGAGAAAAAGATAAACTCTTGTTTGAGTTGATTTAGAATTCTCTACACTTGCCATTTAAATGGTGAACATGCTATGTAAACGTAAACTACTATTAACACAATTTTTCGACATATCTAAGTGGTACATTAAGTGTTTTTTACGTTTGAAAGCCGCGATATCAATTTTATTACCCATATTAAGCCAATACCAAACAAAGGTTTCCACTCGTACCCAAAAGCCAATAAACCCAAAAACACCTTCGGTTGCACAAACTAAACGCGTATGGCAAAACCACGGCAGTAAAACGAGTTTATACGCGAACGTACAAACATACTATTACTGAATCGCTTCAAATAAAACACACGCGCCAACTCCTGTCACAGTATCGTATAACCCGATCCTAAGCTCGCGTTAAAACCAGCTTCGCGGACGTCTATCCGAACAAAGAGCCGTTAAACCTCGTCAGTGCCACGATACGTATTTTAGTAGGACTGCGGCGGCAAGCCTGTAGCCGAGTGAACGCTCTCCGTTTAACAACCCCACAGACCGAGTCCTCTATTCTTACGTCACCTCACCCCATACTAAATAATCGCCCGGATTGGCTAATTCACTTTGGCGCGCTTTTTCTGTTCCAAATTCAAAAGCGAAACAAGACTCTCCATCCCGCTCGCAAAGGGATCTCGACGCGACAACGAAACGAGAGGGAGACGTTCTGTCGAGCACCGTTGTTACATGATGTAACCATGTTGAAATGAGAAAGAAAGATGCAACGATGAGAAAGTGTGAACGAGACAAGAAAACGTGTCGAGGTTGATCACAGTGGTAGAGTGCGAAGGGAACGTGCTACCGTGCGTTCTACTATTTATAATCAAATGGTTCGCGGCTGTGTGCGTGTGTGTACTTACGTTATGCACCGCACCAACACACGGGGCGCGCGTTGAGCGAGGCAATGATGTGCACGAAGTATTATCCCTTATTACACGATTTGCTTCCGCAGCGGCCGCACGTACAACAGTCGTCAGCCGACCTCTTTTGTCGATCGCCGTGCGAAGTGCAGATTTGTTTACATCAAATAACCGAAGCGATGCATAGCGCGTTAGTTGGCGCGGTCGTGCTGTCTATCGGTCGGTTATCCAGTTACGAGTGAAATGGACAATGCTCGTACGAAGTTTTGCGTAGAAACTTTTTTAGTGAACTTGTGAACTTGCTGAGGTCGTACCGATAACGTGATCTCGGCGAAGTCAAATTTCGAACTGTGAATTTTATACGTATCTAGAACTTTTTGTGCCATAAGAACTGTGAGTGTGATTGTTTACGTCGGTATCGTAATATTATTGAACTTTTTTCAAGTCAAGAATTCCGTTTGCGAACAAATATCGGAAGGCAGAACTTACGAAATTTTCGACAATCCGTAACAATTCTCGGTGAAGTGGCGAATTGTAAAAATATTAAGGGAGAAAAAAAAAAGATATTACGCTGACGAGACACAATAAAAAAGCGAGAGCCGCTCAGTTCAATCGCTCACGCAGCATTTATGCATAAGAAACAAACGGCGTACTGTCCACGATTCTTCCGTAGGAAAAGACGCTGCGAGAAACAACAATGGCTATAGCATTCAATCTGCCAAGTGAGAGAGAGGCAACCGAGGAGAACTTCTCTAGGTTGAACCGACTCCTAGCCGAGTTGTACGAGGTGCTCTGCCACATCTTGGTATCAAGGCAACCTGGCCAAGAGGCCCAGGAGAACAGACGAGGTGAGTGCCCTCGTGAGATTAATCCACCACCGTACCACTTAAGATGCAATTCGACCTACATCGTGAACCTAGTGATGGTTGTGGCCATAATCAAAGTGTCACTAACTTCATCCCTCTTCAATACCATCAGATAAAATGAAGAATCTGTCGTTTAAGTGTTTGTTAACGGTGATACTGCAAAGCAGATCTGGACTGTTGTTATGTATTTTTAAGACTTTCCGTCTTTTTGTATATCTAAAGTTCCGAGATGTTGTGTCCAACTGCACTTAAATTACAAAAGGTGGTATTATCCAAAATAAAATGACAGGACACGCCCCCACTATGGTCCTGTCATTTTTGTTTGGCCCTTGCAAATCTAACATTTATCTGCTTCTTATAAAATATAAATTAAGTTTTACGATCGAGAAATTTGAGTGAAGTTTGACAAAACGCCTCCAAACAAAATAAGTTTTTTTAAATTATTTTTTTTTTTTGCCAGAAATAAATTCTAATGATGCTTTTGGATATATTTGTTTTTAAAATTTCAATTCGTCTATATTATTAAGTATATCTGATGATTTATGATTAATTTTATCAGTGTTTATAATCGAAGTTACGATGTAATTCAATAGCGTAGTTCAATTAGTACTGTTAAGTTTTAATGTTAGTTTCATTTGATCTCCTTGTTTTTTTTTTTTTTTCTATATGATAATTTTTGAGAAAATGATTTCTACTAGTTTAATTTATAACAATTATTTTGTGTAAGTACTCCCTCTGCGGGTTTAGCATTTAATAAATCATTTATATATATTATTATTATTGTTTAGTTATTGTAATGAGGATCTCAAATTTATTTTAGTTCCAAATAATCTCGATAGTCATAATAACATATTATTTTTAAGTACTATAATTGCTATAATTTCATTTCAATTTGTTTAGACACCAAATATTAGTTAATTATGCGAAATCATAATGGTAATATTATTAAATTTATTAATTGATTCAACGACGATTCACAAATTGTCCTTTTCCATAATTATATTTGTAACAAAATTTTACTATTATTGTATATAAATGTCAGCGTATAATTTTAATTTTGTTATATTGCTTTAGGAGATTTTGTTTTACTATGTTCTGTTTAAAAAAAAAATTATATGTAAAATGAAAAAAAAAATCAATTAAAAAATTTGTTTTTCTCTGATCTGTATAAAGATTAATATGCGACCGATGTAATTTTACGATTTTTTTTTAATCGACGAGGTGTAAATATTGCATTTTTATTATAAGCATGTGATTTTTCATACGAATAATCCCGTTTCTAAGTATATTATTTACATATATAGGTACTTACGGTACTGTACTCTAAGAGCTGCATGTAATCGATTATACATAACAGGATTGTGTTTATTAATTTTTTGTATCCCCAAATATTTTTAATGGGACGAATTGTGAAATAAATATTATTTTGTAAAAATATAACAAGCGAGTTTTCAATTCCGTTCACCATTTCCCGCGATTTTCCTGTAGAACATAAAAAAAAAAACAACAAAGTACCATTAAAATATTTTCATACATTTATATAACATTAACTTAAAAAAAATATATCCTGCAAGAATTTCCAAAAACTTAGAAAATTTTAGAGACATACGACGAACTTTCTTCAAATTATGCTTTAGTCTTAAAAAAAAAAATAGAGTTTGGTGATTTTGTTCTTTCTTACGTATAGTTAAACTATTTTGTGAAAACAAAAGGAGCGTGTATGCTTTTTTAATGACCTAGCAAATTACATTTGCCGAGCAAACAATGAACAACCACGTATGCGTGTGTATGCACTGCTAAAACTCATAAACAGTGTCAGACCGCCTGATCATCAATCAGGACGAAAATAGCCAATGTTTACATTTGACGATGTCAAGAAACGTGGTTCTACTCCTGTGGGACTGGTTTTAACCGGTTACGATTCGATATATTATTGTACACTTTGCTTGGGCACCTCTTTCACATTCGTGTTTCTACCGTGAAGCAGTTGTGTTTGCATGGCTGTGTTTCGGTTTGAAGGGTGGGATAAGGCAGTGAATTTACAGGGTACAGAGGAATAACACCTGAGTCCTCAGGAATGGCAACGCATGGGGGGTATCATGGGCGAAATAGTATACTCTGTTATGTCCATGGTACTGCTCATGTCTATAGGCGACGGTTACCACTTTCCATCAGGTGGGCCGTCAGCTTGTTTGCCATTCTAAGTTGTATGAAAAAAAAGAGCCAATTTATTGTTTGATAGATATAAAATTACAAATATATTTCCAATTGGAATTAAGAATTTTTTCTTAAAAAACTCAAATATTATATTTATATTGATCTAAAATTTTTAATGAATTAAAATTACTGAACTGATTTTGATATATAATTTTGATCCATGAGACCAATTTGTAAATATATTCATTCAGATAAGAAAAAAAAGTTTTCCAAATCGGTTTATAACTGACAGAGTTATAAAGTAACAAACAAATAAAATACAACCAAATTGCAAATCTTCTTTTTTAAGTCTATTAAAAATTGTGACAAGGAAATAGATGATAATTAATTGCTTAATAATATAGAAAAAAAAAATAGTAATTATTTTATGAGAATACATGTACTTTTGTAGATAAATAAAAAAAGACAGGGAGTTTTTAAATCTTTTAGGTTTATTAAAAATATCTCTGATTCAATATTAAATTGTATAAAAATATTTGGAACTTGGAAAAAGTAAAAATTTAGACTGTTTAGGTTTACAGAAAAAAAAAGGTAAAGAAAAAATAGAGAGAATGAACAATATAACAGTAGATTTATTCCAGGCAGTTACTATATATATATATATATATATATATATATATATATATATATATATATATATATCCCAGGGAGTATTGAAAATTATTAAGTAATTCCATCTAAAGAACTTAAGTCCTCGTCTAATAACCTGTATTAAGTGGCGCAGTGTTCGTGAAATAACAGGTTCTATAGAATACACTCTGAACTACTACGCTGCTAGAAAATTTGTGTAAACCCAAATATAATTAGATATTATATTTATTTATCATAAAATATATTGCAAATAAAATATATAAATATTATTTACAGTAATTTAATTATAAAATGATTTAAATTTTATATTATAAGTCTCAATAAATATTAGTAAATTATTTTAAATATAATATCATAATTAATTGAAATCATAATGTATAAATATTTTCTTATTTATATTTTTTACAATTATATATAGATAATATGGCATAGAAAAAGGAATAAGAAATTCAATAAATAATCCAGTTTAATAAAATGATTGTAAAAGCAATAAAGATAAGTAGATCTTTCATATATTTTATATAAATATAGTAAAATATCAAAAATCAATCACACATTTAATTGAATAATACAAAAACAACTAAAATTAAAAATAAAATTCTAAAAATCAAAGTTATGACAAAAGTAAACTTAAAAAAAAACAGAATAAAATTAGAATTTTTCTTATAAATTATTCTTATTAGATTTTATAATGGATTCCCATTCAAACTTTACATAAATAATAACTGATTCATAAATCTTAAATTAAATTGTATAGATAGATAGATACTCTTTATTGTTTCCTCCAAAAGGTTACAACAGTAAACTTATTATAGATATAAACAATTACAAGAAATAATCACAATGAGAAAACAATGGGCTACCTTTTCGCTAAGAGCGATCTCTTCCAGGCAACCTTTGGATGAAGAGGAGTAATTATAAACAATTTAGTGGGAGGCACGATGAAAAATTTTGTTAGTTTTAAATATGGGAGATGTGATACATATAATAATATAAATATTCTCGGGAAAACACAAATTATTTCTTTAACAACAATCAAACTTCACTCAATGATCGATAACTATTTTTTTTTAACATAATATATAATACAGAGCAGTAAGCATCAAGTGCAACTTCAAGTGCAAAATTATAACTCTAATGGTAAGTAATAATAATATAAAAGTACTAGAATCGTTATAATTTTAAAAAGTCTGTTTTATGTAGTTAATGCATCTGTAGTGGTATTCTCTAAACTCTAAACTTATGACTAAAAATTCCAATTTTAAAAATTAAACTGATTTAAATTTCTAACAATTTCGACTTAAATCTATTAGGAATTTAGTTTATATTGGTCCTTCCAATAAAGATTATACTGTAATACTTGTTTTAAATTTTAATTTTAGTTAGGTTTAGAGTCTAAACTTTAGAGAATGATGCCACAAAATCGACTCTACTATCTGCAGTATATGTCAAATGGACAGCACAGTATTATTGTGATGGCCAATACATACCATATTTCATATCTATAGCCCACGAATAGACCAATTTTTATCGAATCAACTAACAGCTTCTTTTTCCCATTATTAAAAAAAATATATGACTTAATCAGCCAGCAATATTCCATAATATTTTTTTTAATTGAAATACTCGTATCATGTTCTTATAAGATATATAGTTTATCCTTTCTAATAAGTTTTATTTTTTTTTATTTGTTTTTAAAGAATATTTAAGAATATGTACCAACATATTTATATTGTATTGTGTTTTGTTGTGAAACCTTTATTGTACATAATTTACATTGGTCACATTAAAACAATTAATATACAATGACAGACTTTTGCCATAAAGAGATCTCTTATAGACAACCTTTGAGAAACTGAAAGAAAACTATACAATATTAGAGGATAAAAACAAAAAAAAAAAAGGTTAACTTGTATTTTATTTGTTAACATGAAAATTAAAAACTTCAACATTTTGGTGAAATTCAAAATTTATAAATTTCATTAAATAATAAAATATGAAACAATAATTAGAAAAAAAAAACGAAAATTACCAAACAGGCGTCATCATCATCATCATCTCAGCCGTTATCTGTCCACTGTTGAATATAGGCTTCCACAAAGAACTGTCTTTGAAAGGGTTCTAAGCGTGCATGCAAACAGGCATGCGTAAGTAATGAAACTACACGGAGGGCC